CTTAATATAACAATAATCAAATGATGATACTAATGATGATGAAGATGACGATGATAAAAATGAATATGATGATGATGAATAAGTGTATCGAAGAGTATATTATAACARCACTTCTGGCCTCCTAATCCTAGACCCTCCCAGCCCTCCCTGCACCAGGACATTACATCTCTGAGACAATACCCTCCTAGCCAATGTCTACCATAGCTGACCTGTTTTCGCCACCTAGACTAACCTTGGCCCCGTAGGTAGTCAAAGACAGCCCCCCCGGTTCGCCAATGGATTGCCTTCCTCCCTCGGCTAATCCCCAGATCTCTCTACAAGGCCTCACACTCCTGCCAATTGCAGGTTACAGGGCAACGCCCCAGCTCTGGCCAGCGTCGTTCTGGCATCGCCAAGCCAGGGGCAACGACAAAGCAACTATGAAGATATCAGTCCAGATTCGATCATCTCTGAAATCCTATGTCCTGATTTAGGAAGGAGGCCAGATACAGCCAAGAATTACCGCACACCAGAAAGCATGAAATAACAATCTCCCCTCTCCCTTCCTTCCTCCATTCTCTCCATTCCCTTATCTATCCCTTTACCCTAATCTGCCCCCGATGGGATTTGATGGCCAGCCCCAGAAAAGAGTAATCCTCGCAATCTGCCCAATCCCCCTCCAGGGTTTCACCACCCACCTAATGAAACCCCTGCAGAGCTGGGCTCTCTCCCTCCCCCTCACTAAAATGTCATTCACTTAGATTTTGTAGGATTTTGTTGATGACAAAAGACAGTCCCCTGAAAGAAATGATAATGAGGTTGATGGTGACGACCCACTCACCTGCTGAAGCGAAAGGCAAACAATGCCTTAAAAAGCAAAAACATCCTCATAATGGTAATACTGATAATGATTATGATGATGGCAATGACGATGATGATGTTGATGATGATGATGATGCTGATGCTGATGATGATAACTATGATGATGATGATGATAACGATGATGATGATGATGATGACGCACCAAAGATGATGCACAATGATAATGTCAGTAATGCTTTTGCTGCTGCTGATGCTGCTGCTGCTGATGATGATGATGATGATGATGATGATGATGATGATGATGATGATGATGCTGACGCACCAATGAAGAACGCTGCTGCTTCTGCTGCTGCTGATGTCAATAACGCTGCTGCTGTTGTCAATAACGCTGCTGATATCAATAAAGCTACTTCTGTTGTCAATAACGCTGCTGATATCAATAAAGCTACTTCTGTTGTCAATAACGCTGCTGATGTCAATAACGCTGATGAAGATGATGATGATGATGACACACCAATAAAGATGTCAATAACGCTGCTGCTGTTGCTAATGGTGATGGTGATGATGATGACGCAAGTTTGCCGTACCCACTCTGCTGGAACCAATAAAGCACGCCAGCCTCCATGCTGATGATGATGATGATGATGACGATGAAGATGATGATGATAATGATGATGATGATGATGATGATGATGATGATGATGATGATGATAATGATGATGAAGATAATGGAGATGACAACCTGACGATTATACTTCCTCCATACGTATTGAAGAGTACCTGCATCGGATTTATAGTAGTTCGTGATCACTACCTGCTGTGCAATTTACACTCTCATCTACCCGTTCACACCTTCCTCCTTTCAGATCTCCCGCCCGAATAATGGTCCAGATGGATACGAAAGGAGCATTTCACTCCCTTTCCTCCAAAGCGTACTCATGAGCACACCCGCCTTCTCCACCATGAGCCTGTCATGGTTGTGTCCAGCGACCCCACTCAGTTAGGAGATAGCAATCACCACTTCCCCACCCTTGTCGTCGCATACTCTCACATAATGTCCTCCAAGAAGCAGGGCAGGAGCGACGCGCGCGGTTTCCACTAAAAAGCTGCTTGCGACATTAATTTGTGCGATGGCGCGAGCGCAACGTGCCTCGGTGTACTGACGCGAACGGCGATGGTGCGACTGCATTCAAAGAGAGCAACACATAGCTATGGCGTGACCATATTCAGGAAGAGTGATGCCCGGGGCGCAGCGCTGCTGAGAGCGCTGCGCCCGGTCCGCCGGAATCTCATTCGCCGTATCCTAACACATTACCTCTCGGAGGGTGTGGGAGATGTTTTTGAGTGGAACAAGCTGTGGACGCTACTAGGAGGGGTTCCTGATGGTGTCTCTCTGTGCAAAGGTGTGGGATATGTAGCCCAAACATTGAGAGCAGTTGTATGCTCAACTATCTGGCATGCTAGAAACGATTTGATCTTCAACAAACAAGAGTGGACAAACAAACAAATCCGCTCAACAGTTTTGCAAGGGATTCGCCAGGCAATAATGGCAGATTGGAGACGAAAGGTCATCAAATCTGACAGCAGGATAATGGGTTTACTCTGGTTCAGGGAAACTTGGTGTTTTCAAGGCAAAATGGCCTCCGTTGCTGACGACAAATTGTTGTTGAATGATTGGTTATTTAAGAATTAGGCTCGTAGGATCAACCTGTACGCTTGGTTGCAGGTTCGGTCACGGTAGACAGGCAGATGGCTAGGAGCTGGAGGGAGCAGTAGCCTAGGAATGTTAGGAGTCTCATGATTGAGACTTCCACCGCTGTTAGGTGGATTATCATTGTTACTTGAAATGGTGTGCGGGTTGTTTGTTGATAGTAGGATCTTTTGTAGGAGTTTAGGGTTGTTGGTTTCCTTTTGGATTGTTAGGCTTTCATGGGCCTTGTAGGCATTGTGTTCTTCTTTTTCCCTTTTTTAAATGGGTCGGGGATAAGTCGGGACAGCGGTCTGTGTTTGGCCATTTCTGTTTCCAGACATGTGAATCCCAACACCTAGTCTGAGCTGGGTTGTGCCCCCAGTATTGGTACCTTTTTCCGGGTTGTGTTGAGAGGGATTCCCGGCCTCAATTGTTGTTCTTTTTTGCGGTATAATGATGAAGCCCTCTGGGCCCCTTTTGTTAAAAAAAAAAAGAAAAAAAATTGCACTATGGGGCAAGGTACAGTGTTTGCAGTTATTGCACTTCGGGCACCATACACCTGGTCAGAAAGCTGGGTTGTATACATTGCCGGAACTGCAATAATTGCAAATTGTATCTTGGCCCATCATAGTTATAACTCGTTTCTATGACTCCCGCGTAGTTTCCCCTTACAAAAAGGGGTTCATTCCCCTTACAAAAAGGGGTTCATTCCCCTTACTAAAAGGAGTTCATGGGTGTACCCCGTTCAACCCCTCATGTGCTGGGCACAAGTCTTTTTCCAAGAGTCTGAGCATCGTTGCACCTCGTTTCGGAGTTTTTGGTGCAACGACTAAGTACAAAATAAAGAAAGAAAGAAAAGAAAGGAGCCAAGTGGACAACGCATCAGATATTAAACCGATCAGACCAGATACATTGCACTTTGTCTTAATTAGCTAAATGCTAAACGGCCAAGAAAGGTATCTCCCTGATCCTCATCTTCAAATTAATGGGCGACTGCCAAAGGAACCGTTCCTATGAATAGCGCCTTGGATGTGTATATCTACATAAGAAACTATATCTATCTATCTATATATCTATCTATCTATATATCTATCTATCTATGTATATATATATTGTTGTCCTCTTCTCTCTCTCTGCCTACGGTTTACCGGGCAGCTCAGTTTG